TTTTGGAATAAAAAAGGCACTCTTCCGTGTGAACTTGAGTATAAATATACACATTTTCTGCCCCCATGTCTTGAATTTGTGATCATTCCGAATGTATTTTAATAGACTGAATCATGCAGTGATCAGGCAGAGCGCTAGACTTCACGTAATGCCTGCACTCTGTAGGTGTTTTGAATTTTTTATATATTTTTTGAATATTGAGTAAAATAGCTCACTTGTCATGGTGTTATTTAACTATATCATGTTATGAATAAACGAAACATTTTAATTTTTTACCTCAGTGTGTTTCTTCTGAGTTTGTGTGCTGTTATGCTCATTTGTTCTGAAGTCTCGAGACAAACAGAGTGAGCTTCAGCGCGAGCTTGTATTCTGTATTCTGTTAACTTACTGCAGTTCTCTCTGATGACACAGTAACTTACGAAGAAAACATCTTCGGTCTGTCCAATGATTGTAAACAGTCATTAGCTCCGTCAGACTTAAGATATTTTAGCGGTAATGAGACCAAAAATAATTAAGACCCATCGAATCCGAATTTAAGACATTTTAAGACTTTTTAAGGACCCGCGGACACCCTGTCGTTACAAGTATAGTAGAACCATCACTTCTACCACAAAAGACTGCTTTGTAAGTAATCTTCCTGATTTATCTCAATTCCTCAGCATATCCAATAGCTCAGAACTACTTGATGATGTAACAGAAACTATGGACTCTCTTTTCTATAATTTTAGATACGGTTGCTCCTTTACGCATAAGGAAGATTAAAGGGGTCATATGACGCTATTATAAAGATCATTATTTTGTGTATTTGGTGTAACAGAATATGTTGACATGCTTTAATGTTCAAAAAACACATTATTTTTCAAATACTGTACATTATTGTAGGTCCTCTATGCCCCGCCTCTCTCAAACACATCGTTTTCAACAAAGCCCCCTCCTTTGACAAGCGCAGTCTGCTCTGATTGGCCAGCTGACCCAGTGCATTGTGATTGGCCGAACACCACACGCATGCGTCGGAAATGTAACGTCCCTTACCATAATCGCGAGCTTCAGCTTTCAAAGTAAAAATCAAGACAGTTAATAATGTCATTAGTTTTACCATCAGTTCAAGCCCCAAAACGGCAACAGAGTCACGTGACAGACACAGTGATGATACAGTACACAAGCCGCGGTTAAGACAGCTTACATGCTATGATTTCTGACAGGCAGTTCACTCTCCTGTGATGTGACCCTGTTCCCCTCACACACACATGACGCGTTACTCTGCGCTGCGCAAAACTCCGCATTTGAACAGTCAATAGCAATACCAAATAACAAAACATACTTACAGTCGCTGATTCAGAAGCGCCAGATTGTCATAGAAAAGTCGGAATTGACAGTAGTATCCTCACAATTATATTCCTTCTTAGAGAAAAATGGTATTTGTGAGGATTTCCAGTCAGGATTTAGACCATATCATAGTACTGAGACTGCTCTCATTAGAGTTACAAATGACCCGCTTTTAGCATCTGATTGTGGTTGTATCTCTCTATTAGTACTACTGGATCTTAGCGCTGCGTTCAGCACTATCGACCACAAAATTCTTTTGAATAGACTAGAAAACTTTGTTGGCATTAGTGGAAGTGCATTAGCATGGTTCAAATCGTACTTATCTGACCGCCATCTGCTCTGTCAATTCTTCGTCATCAGTTAGGAACCGAGGTGTGCTATTTGATAGCAATCTTTCCTTTGAAAGCCACGTTTCTAGCATTTGTAAAATTGCATTTTTCCATCTAAAAAATATATCTAAATTATGACCTAGCTCTCAATGTCAAATGCAGAAACATTAATTCATGCGTTCATGACCTCAAGGTTAAATTATTGTAATTCTTTATTAGCTGGTTGTTCTGCACATTTAATAAACAAACTCCAGCTGGTTCAAAATGCAGCAGCTAGAGTTCTTACTAGAACCAGGAAGTATGACCATATTAGCCCCGGTTCTGTCAACACTGCACTGGCTCCCTATTGAACAACGAATACATTTTAAATTCTTGCTTATTACATATAAAGCCCTGAGTGGTTTAGCACCTCAGTATTTGAACGAGCCCTTATTGCATTATAGTCCTCCATATCCGCTGCATTCTCAAAACTCTGGCAATTTGATAATGCCTAGAATATCAAAATCAACTGCGGGCGGCAGATCCTTTTCCTATTTAGCGCTCAAACTCTGGAATAACCTACCTAACATTGTTCGGGACGCAGACACGCTCTGTCAGTTTAAATCTAGATTAACCCTCTAAGTGTCAAAGTCGCAAAATTGTGACAAGACAACATACTTAATAAAATAGGCTGTAGATCCTAGTATGGTGTAATATCTCATTTGTATTCCCTACCACTAGATGGCAGACATGTAGTACTTCGATTCTAAACCAAAATGACGTCATGTTCCTATTCAAAGTGTTCGAACAAATAGCAGAGCAATTGAGCTATCTTGTCATTGATGCGGAAACAGTTCAGTTCAGAGCGTTTGAGTAAATTGTGAGATTTGTGAGAGAAAAATCGCCAAATGGCTAATAAAAAGTTGTACCGTGAGGATGTGTTGCAAATGTTATTCACCGATTCTGACTCTGAAGGGGAATATTTGCCTTTTGGAAATGACGATCAGTCGTCTAATGATCGCGCTTCTCCCGGTACATCTTTGCAGAGCAATGGTGCCGCCGTGCAAGGCGCGAGTGTTCACGAAGCACAAACAAGTGATAATTTCAAACAAGTGTCCATAGGAGAGCTGTTGCTAGAGGTAGAGGCAGCAGGGGTAGGAGAAATAGGGCTGGAAGTAGCACTAGCTCTTTGGATCCAGCGCCCCAAATAGGTGGGAGTGGCCGCAGTAGACGTGGCCGTGCAGTGCGTGGGAGAGCCGGGAGACGTGGTAGAGGCAGCAGGG